GAGAGAGACAGAGAGAGACAGAGAGAGAGACGGAAAGAGAGACAGAGACACACAGACAGAGAGAGAGAGACAGAAAGAGATAGAGAGAGACAGAGAGAGAGAGAGAGAGACAAAGAGAGAGAGAGAGACAAAGACAGAGAGAGAGACAGAAAGACAGAGACAGAGAGAGAGAGAGAGACAGAGACAGAGACAGAGAGAGAGAAAGAGAAAGACACAGAGAGAGACACAAAGAAGAGAGAGACAGAGACAGAGAGAGAGACAGAGAGAGAGATAGAGAGAGACAGAGAGAGACAGAGACAGAGAGAGACAAAGACAGAGAGAGACAGAGACAGAGAGAGAGACACAAAGAGGCAGGGAGAGAGAGAAAGGCAGAGAGAGAGACATAGAGAGACAGAGAGAGAGACACAGAGAAACACAGACAGAGAGACAGAGAGAGAGAGAGACAGAGAGAGAGGCAGAGACAGGGAGATAGAGACAGGGAGGCAGAGACAGGAGTCAGAGACAGGGAGGTAGAGACAGGGAGACAGACACAGAGAGAGAGGCAGAGACAGGGAGGCAGAGACAGGGAGGCAGAGACAGAGAGAGAGACAGAGAAAGAGAGCCAGAGAGAGATAGACAGACAGAGAGAGAGACAGAGACAGAGAGAGTGACAGAGACAGAGAGAGACAGAGAGAAACAGAAACAGAGAGAGACAGAGACAGAGACACAGAGAGAGATAGAGACAGAGAGAGAGAGAGACAGTGAAAGACAGACAGAGAGAGACAAAGAGAGAAACAGAGACAGAGAGAGAGAGAGAAAGAGAGAGAAACAGAAAGAGAGAGAGAGACAGAGGGGGAGAGAGAGAGACAGAGGGAAAGACAGAGTAAGAGACAGACAGAGAGAGACAGAGAGACAGAGAGTGAGAGAGAGAGAGACAGACAGGGAGACAGGGAGAGAGACAGAGAGAGAGATAGAGAGAGACAGAGAGAGACAGAGACAGAGAGAGACAAAGACAGAGAGAGACAGAGACAGAGAGAGAGACACAAAGAGGCAGGGAGAGAGAGAAAGGCAGAGAGAGAGACATAGAGAGACAGAGAGAGAGACACAGAGAAACACAGACAGAGAGACAGAGAGAGAGAGACAAAGAGAGAGAGAGACAGAGAGAGAGAGAGACAGAGAGAGAGAGAGACAGAGAGAGAGAGAGACAGAGAGAGAGAGAGACAGAGAGAGAGAGAGACAGAGAGAGAGAGAGACAGAGAGAGAGAGAGACAGAGAGAGAGAGAGACAGAGAGAGAGAGAGACAGAGAGAGAGAGAGACAGAGAGAGAGAGAGACAGAGAGAGAGAGAGACAGAGAGAGAGAGAGACAGAGAGAGAGAGAGACAGAGAGAGAGAGAGACAGAGAGAGACAGAGACAGAGAGAGACAGAGAGAAAGAGAGACAGAGAGAGAGAGGCAGAGACAGAGAGACAGAGAGAGACAGAGACAAAGAGAGAGAGAGACAGAGACAGAGAGAGAGGCAGAGACAAAGAGAGAGGCAGAGACATAGAGAGAGAGACAGAGACAGATAGAGACAGAGAGATTCAGACAGAGAGAGAGACAGAGAGATAGAGAGACAGAGACAGAGACAGACAGAGAGAGAGAGAGACAGAGGACACAGAGAGAGAGAGAGACACAGAGAGAGAGAGACAGAGAGAGAGAGACAGAGAGACAGAGAGAGACAGAGAGACAGAGAGAGGCAGAGAGACAGAGAGCGCGACAGAGCGACAGAGAGAGAGACAGAGAGCGAGAGAGACAGAGAGCGAGAGAGACAGAGCGAGAGAGAGACAGAGAGAGAGAGAGAGACAGAGAGACAGAGACAGACAGAGAGAAAGAGAGACAGACACAGAGACACAGAGAGACAGAGAGAGACAGAGACAGAGAGAGACAGAGACAGAGAGAGACAGACCGTAAGAGAGGGAGACATAGACAGAGACAGAGGGGGAGACATAGACAGAGACAGAGACAGAGACGGAGAGAGACAGAGACAGAGACAGAGACAGACAGAGACAGGGACAGACAGAGACAGGGACAGACAGAGACAGGGACAGACAGAGAGACGGACAGACAGAGAGACGGACAGACAGAGAGACGGACAGACAGAGACAGAGAGAGAGACAGAGAGAGAGAGAAAGAGAGTCAGAGAGAAAGAGACAGAGAAGGAGAGAGACACAGAGAGAGAAAAAGTCAGGGGGAGAGAGACGGGGACAGGGGGAGAGAGACGGAGAGAGACGGAGACGGAGACGGAGAGGGAGAGGGAGAGAGAGAGGGAGACGGAGAGGGAGACGGAGAGGGAGAGGGAGAGGGAGACGGAGAGGGAGAGACAGAGAGGGGGAGACAGAGAGGGAGAGACAGAGAGGGGGAGACAGAGAGAGACAGAGGGACAGGGGAAAGACAGAGAGACAGAGACAGTAACAGACGACAGACCGAGACAGACGACACACAGAGACAGACAGAGAGACAGACAGGGAGACAGACAGAGAGACCCCGACAGACAGAGACCGAGACAGAGACAGAGAGACCGAGACAGAGACAGAGAGAACGAGACAGAGACAGAGAGACCGAGACCGAGACAGAGAGACCGAGACAGAGACAGAGAGACCGAGACAGAGACAGAGAGACCGAGACCGAGACCGAGAGACAGAGACAGAGAGAGACAGAGAGTCAGAGAGTCAGAGAGAAAGAGACAGAGACAGAGAGAGGCAGAGACAGAGACAGAGAGAGACAGAGACAGAGAGAGAGACAGAGAGAGACAGAGACAGAGACAGAGACAGAGTCAGAGACAGAGTCAGAGACAGAGTCAGAGACAGAGAGAGTCAGAGACAGAGAGAGACAGAGACAGAGGGAGGGACAGAGAGGGAGGGACGGAGAGGCGGAGGCGGAGAGACAAAGAGAGACGGAGGGCAAGGCGGAGAGACAGAGAGAGATGGAGGGCGAGGCAGAGAGACAGAGAGAGACG